TACTCACTACTTTACATTGTAGCCAAGTATCATTTCTTCAGTGTTGTCACATGAAAAGATATACTTCAATATTTACAAAATGTGAGGGGGGGGTACTCATTTCTGTGATATACTGTATATAGTATAACTCGCTTTGTCTTCCAGTCCAGATAAAGGCAAATGTCTTTTTGCGATCTTAGCAAAAGAAAACTGGAGAGCAAATCTACTCTCCCGGGAGAGAGAAGCACCTACCAGGTCCCCCACTCGGCCCTGTAACACTTCCAGACCCGCTTACAAACGGACAGAGAGGCAAGACCCCGCGAGCCGACAAGAACCGATACTTACAGCGCGGTGATGCTGCGAGGCAAAGGTGGTAGCAGGCCTGGTTCTAAGCTCCGACCGGACAGGCGGAGGCGGCTGCAATCCAACACACCTCGCCGGCAAGAACAAGGCGCGGCGGCGGCGCAAGGTTCCCCCGCAGCCTCCCGCAGCAGCGCTACCAGCATCAAAGGTAACAGCGGCCTGAACGCCCCTGGGCCAATCTCCTCGCCCCGCCGCATTCTCCTTCCCCCCCTCTTGCACGGGGGTCTGCCGCCCCGGAGATCTCGTCAGGCCGCGCAGTTGCGAACTAGCCTTTGCGCACCGCGCCCGCCTTCGCGCAGGCCGAAGCGGGAGGAGCCAAGTTGGGCCTGCTGAGCGCACGCGCACCAAACACTGAACGAGCCGACGGGAAGAGCGTTCGGAAGGGGGAGGACCCTAAGGGAGTGGGTGGGGCTTCGTCGTTGACAGTTGGAAGGGCGGAAGTGGGGGGGGGTTCTGGGGAAAGTGGCGGAAATTCTCGCGTATGCTGGGATTTTAAATTATGATTTGCAATGGCTGTTAGTTTGGAGCAAGTGTGAATTGGCTGTCATTTTCTTTCTGCCGTAGAAGAGCCATTTGCTGTCCCTCTCTGTCCTTCTGTCCGTCCCGAGTTTCTCCTTCAGCCTCCCGCAGTTCTTTGATTCTTAAACGTATTCAAAAATATCATCCTTTTTATATCCGAATTATTCCTTTAAAAGTTTGCAACTTTAGCTTTAAGTATTCTTGCTTGAAAATAAAATAAATCAACATCAGTAGGAATATTATCCTGCAAAATATCACTATATGTAGAATATATTAAACAAAATATTGTGGGGTGGGGATAGTAATTGGAACAGCTTGGATCTTACTGTTTTACATTGCTATACTGTTTATCAATTGCACAGCAAAATTATTCGAAGCCAACATTTTGTACTATTCTAATGCACAAACCGCACAAACATAAATATAATCTCTGAAGAGGCTATCACATTCGGGCTACAAAAATTTGGTTAAAGCATTTCTGTTTGCTGATATTTTGTGGTCCAAGGATTTTCAGACAAGATCTAGTCTGCCCAATTTAAACGAAAAACAATATAGTAATGATTCATGCTTCAAATTCACATTAGCTCTGGATCCATTATTTTTTTTTCCATTTCATTGTTACAAATATACTGTTTATTGCATGCATAGTCATCACTTATTCTTTTTTGATGCAATTGAAAAACAAACACATCCCCATCTGATCACCATTCTTATTCATTTGTAGTTCTCCCAATAGCCAGTCATTAGTGGGTCTCTCATTCTCTAATCTCATTCTCATTCATGCATTCATATTTTCTTAACAATTTTGTCTTCTGGATCACAAATGACATTAATTTCAAATGATGAATGGGTTCTTTTTTCCTCCCATGCTTTTTCCCAATTTCATTATTGCCAGTCACTAAAGCAGTGTTTCTTAAACTTGGCAGTTTGAAGATGTGTGGACTTCATCTCTCCAAATTCTCCAGCCAACTTTCTGGAAGTTAAACTCCACGGATCTTAAATTAGCCAAAGCTGAAAAAATACTGCACTAGTTCATAATATACATCTATTACTAACCTATGGATTCCTGCTTACATATGGCCACACAACAATATAAATAAGATCAGTTCTGGTTTTTGACATTTGAACTTTCATTTATAATTAAAATTCACTTTTCTGTATTCATGAAAATCTCAAGATCAGTCCCCTTTCATCAGAGGTTAATTGTTTTTTCTTAAATTCATAAGCATACAAAGCAACCTTCCTGCCTCTCTCCCTTCCTCCCTTCCTTCTATGTATCCATCCATCCATCCATTCATCCCTAGAACAGAACAGAACAGAAGCTGGATAATCTATACTATTTCAGACAAGTAGCCATCTAATCTCTTCTTAAAAACCTCCAGTGATGGAGTGCCCACGATTTCTGAAGGCAAGCTGTTCCACTGGTTAATTGTCCTCACTGTTAGGCAGCTTCTCCTTAATCTCAGGTTGCTTCTCTCTTTGGTTAGTTTCCAACCATTGTTTCTTGTCCTACGCTCTGGTGCTTTGTAGAATAATTTGCCTCTTCTCTGTGGCAAGCCCCTCAAATACTGGAATACTGCTATCATGTTGTCCCTAATTCTTCTTCTCTTTAGACTAGCCAAACCTGAATTCTGCAGCCGTTCTTCATATGTTTTAGTCTCCAGTCCTTTGGTCATCTTAGTTGCTCTTCTCTGAACTTTTTCCAAGGTCTCAACATCTTTTTTGTAGTATGGCAACCAAAATTGGTTGCAGTGGGGTCTTACTAGGGTTTTATAAAGCAGTACTAATACTTCATGTGATCTTGATTCTATCCTTTTTATACAATCCAGGATTGTATTAGCTTTTTTGTCTGCTGCTGCATATACTGGCTTATATTCAAATGATCATCTACTAGGGCTCCAAGGTCCCTGTCACAGTTACTGTTTTTGAGCAAGGTCTCGCTTAATCTGTATTTGTACCTCTGATTTTTCCTGCCTAAATGTAAAACTTTGCTTTTCTCCACATTAAAATTCATTTTGTTGGATAGGGCCCATAGTTCAAGTTTGTCAAGATCTTTTTGGATCCTAAGCTTGTCATCTAGGGTGTTGGCTATACCTGCCAGTTTAATGTCTGTCCTTCCTTCCTTCCTTCCTTCCTTCCTTCCTTCCTTCCTTCCTTCCTTCCTTCCT